TTCTGGGTCATGAGCCCATTGCTAGAAAGCAGAAATAACTTTCCTGCCAGGAAAATGGCCCTTGTATTTAGAATACATTTATTGTATTTATTATTATCTGTCCCATGGTTGCGTGCGAGTAACAACTTTCTTCATGATATTGAAATTGCTCTGCTGTGATAACAAATGTTCCTCATTTAATGGCAAGTGCCACATAAGGACACAGAAATTGCCTTCCAAATGTGAGCTGAGTGATGCACAGGGAAACGACAAGGCTTTTAAAACGACAGGGAATGCTCAAGAAAACAGGTCACTAAGTCCAGCAAGACCTTGGGCTCTCCATGACCTGGTAGAAAACAAACACTACCCAGACTGGGTGTGCTGTACAAATCCCAGGAGGAGTGGGAGGACCCTGTGCCAATGTTGTCTTCACAGTGGAGCTGTTTGGAGAAGGGATGGGATGGGTGGGGTGAACTGCTGGTAATAGACGTGTAATGAAACATTCAGAGGTACATGGTCCATGTTTGTTCTGGATTTGCTCTGCTCTCCTGTTTCCTCTTCTACCTCATGTTACCTGAGTTTGGGACAGACCTTGTGCTGTCAATGTTTGGATTTACTTCTGGCAGGAGATGTGGAAAAACTAGCACTGAAGGCTGCCTCTTGCATCTGATGTGACACTAAGCTGCTGTTTGACATGTGGACAGTCTCAGGTGATAAAGTGTGTGGCACCGAGATACTGGTAAATTTTAGACACGTGGTGTCAAAATTAATAATAGGCCATGTGGGTTTTCCTTTGGGCTTTGACTGATCCCAGCACTCTCCAGAGCTGCTTTCTTAGATCGAGCTTGTGAAGTGCTCCTCTGGGGAGGACGGAGATCACAAACCAGCAGAAGCTCTTGCATCCCTTCCATGTGTGTGGGAAAAACAAATCCTGTTTCATTCCTAGTTCTGGGCCATGTGTCCACTGGGCACTGGGTGTAAGAATCACTGCTTTGCAGCCCTCACTCCTGGGGGGTCAATGGGCTCTGACCCTGGCAGCTCCTGAAATAATAGTGTAAAATTAACCTTGCCCAGCTGTGGGAGTGCTCCCTCTCCCTGTTGGTGAGCCCTGAGGCCCCGAGGGACTCTGTTTTTGCAGGTGGGGTGGAGGGTTTCTGTTGCTATGACAACAGGGTTTTCTTTTTTCTTTTGGTCAAATTGGATTTTTTTTTTTCAGTTTAGAAAAACTGAAACAATTAGGATAGAGTCCTGCTCTCCCACAAGGATACCCAGGCAGGATGCAGAGGAAGGTAGCATGGAGGCAGGTGTGGGCAAAGGCAGGCAGCTGGTATCCCCAACCCCAAGGATTTACACATCTTTCCTTGAGACAACTGCATGCTTCATAAAACAAACCCAGAGATACAAACTAACTCAAATAATTCACTTTGCTTTCTCACACTACCTTTTCAAGCCTGACTAAAAGGGGACACACACCTGAATTCTTACGGAGGGCTGAGGTTTACTCCTTGCAGACCTGGTTTGCTTTTCATCTGACAGGATTTTCTAGATTATTATTTATTTTTTTTAATAGGAATGTCAAAAAGCTGAGTCAGCCATCCCACAGCTATTAAGATCCTAAAACCTCTTCCTCCTTACGGATTGCTTACCCCTACTCTATGCAGTCAGATGAAGATGAGTTGTTTGTTCTGGCAGAAGGACAGACAGTCTGTTTTTCCCTCCATGTATACAACTAATTTCAAGTCACTGGTGTTCTAGCTGGTGATAAAAGAGCTATCTTAAGCTTTTCACAGAACACAGTGACACTGTTAAATCAGCACAGCATTTTCATTAGCAGAAAGATGAGAGCTATACAGTTTAATGAGAAAAAGGGACAAAACACCTTTAGTGCAGCAGGTCTAAACCTCCAGTTTCAAAGGAAATAGGTGTTTTTCTGTAAGTTACACATTTTCACCTTACTACTGGTTCAAGGCTATTCAGTGTCAGCAATAGCCTGCACTGATGGAGTAAAGAAGAAAAATTGCTTTCATGCCTTATTGCTCATCTGGTTAGACCTTTTCCTGCAGCTGCATAACAGGCAGCTGTGGGACCAGAGCCCACGGGCTTGGGGACCTGAATGTGTATGCTCTGGTAACTTTCTCCAGGAGCTTTAAGGCTCACCCTTGGGTGCATGTTCCTTTTCTAGAACTCTGGTCCTTTGGCAGGACACTTCCAATTGCTGCTGTTGCGGACTGATCCTAAGGCTAAATGCCTTCTAATGCCTAAAACTTCCTGGTAACTTCCAGACTAAATTTATATACCACACATTTGATGTCCATTTATTCGAAGACCAAGATGGTCTTTCAACTCAAATAGATTTTCTCCCTGCTGAGGTTTAAATCTTTACCGTGCTTGTCAAGAGCAGTCTTCTAACATCAGAGGTACCAAAAGAGGAGAAATATATTTGCTAACTGACACTTCAGTGAAAGCGGTTGCAGCACTTTAGAATTCATCGTTTGCAGGTGCTGTGACCCCACAGTGGTGTTTCTGGGATTGCTTTACAATGCCAAATGGCCTTAGGCTGCACTCTACATGGTGGCATCCTATCACAGTGCCATCCCGGAGGAACCGCTGTGCAGCTGACAAAATTCAGAAGAGATGCAGATATCAGACTCCTTACATTAATTCAGACGTTCTTGCATTTAGACTCCTTCCTATGCTTATTCTCCTGATACTGGGCTGTGTGAGTGAAAACTGCACACAGAGGAACTTGAGAGATGCTTAAATTACAGCTGACCCTGCTCTAACCTACGACTTTCTCTGAACCGAGGAATTCGGTCTGGCATGTCTTCAGAGACAAAATCTCGGGGGATCTCAGCTCGATAGGTAGGCTGAGTTAAATGTGATTATCCATGCTGCTTGTGCCAAGCTGAGCTGGTCTCAACCAAAGCCACTCCTGTTCACATACCCAAACACTGCTCTAGGTGTTTCTCATGCACTATGCAATAACTTAAAAATCACATGAGGGGGCAGGAAGGCAAGAGATACTTAAAAACACAAAAAGGAATAGATGACCATGCTCTTTTTAAAAAAACCCAAACATAAATAAATGTTGGCTTATGCTAAAAAACCCCAAGTTTGTATTTCCATAAAGTGCAACTAAATATCTGTAGGCCATGGGCTGTCTGTAATGAGCAGAGTACATTCTGCATCATGAGTGGGGTTTAAGACCAGTGACTCCAGAGAGATGACAGAAGTAGTGCTAAGCTTAGTTTAACACAATCTGCAGAAGCAGTTCTGCACAGTTGCTATAACACTATGTTAAACTAGGCTAAACTCTGAACACTGCTATAGTCACTGCTTTTGGAACCACTTTGGAGTCAGTCTGTCAGAATGTTCCTCTCCTTTGCAAAATACATAATCTCATTTAAAATCATCTAGTTTCCTGAAAGCTACTCAGTGTGGGGAAAAAAGTCTGACAGCGTTCCCTCTTGCCTGCCGATATAGTAAACTTACTGATTGCTTATCTGCAGCGACACCAATCACAATTTTGCATTTATTTTTGAAATCATATTTATAAACACCTTCTTGGTTTATACTGTCTTCTCAAATATGGCCACTTATTTGTGTTACTTCTTAAAAAAGCTCAGTTTTTGAATATGTATTTGAAACAAACTTATTACTGTTATTATTTTTAAAATCTTCAACCTGACTTATAGGGGAAACCCTTCTTTCCTCCCCAACATCCCAAAAAATTCCCCTTCTATCATTTCACCTGCTGGGATGCTGGTGAATCTGGGGGTTTGAAAATATCCTGGAAAGGATTCCTCACCTGTTTGAAACATCTGGCTGAGCAGTGAACCTTACCTCATGATGACAATTTCTCTCTGAGGGTTTTACACCCAAGTGAAATATTCCAGGTATATCTGAAGTTGCATTTCTTATGAAATTTAGACAAAAGGGTTTCCTTGCTTGGGGAGCTGATTTCTTCTGCCTGTACTAAGGAGTGAAAGCCAGTGGAGATTGCTTTGACATAATCTCAATGTGTGTTCTGTTGAAGGAAAAGTGCTTGTCTTGGTGTCTTTGGCAGAAGTCCTGCACAGAAAAATGAAGTTTATCTTCTCAGATCCTCTCTGCAACTCTGCTTGTCTGCTTGGATAAAGTCTTCTTCCACCTTCTGTACTAAATGTTTCGCTGCTATTTTAACAGCTTCAGACCTGTACCATAAGCATCCATCTCAAAGGATGAGCAAAGTGACCCTTTCAGTCTCTTGCCTAATTCACGCTGACTGCTCTGCCATTAGTTACCTAATGATTTGTGAAATATTTTGTGATATACCTTGTGGTCTTCAGCTGAACAGTCCTTGTAAGTGTCCCATATTAGTAGTAATGGTGATACATAGCGAGTTATCATGGCACCATAGAATTTCCTCATGCATTTCTTTCAGTGGTTAAAAACTTCTGTTGTATAGTGAAAGTTTAAGTTTTTGGCAGCATCAGTGCAACCACACAAGCGGAGCTTCCTCCTGCAGGCTTTCCTCCTGCCAGCAGTTCCCGTTCACACCAGCAATCTCATCAGCTGCACACAGGCTAAATTTTGCAGCATAACACAGTGTACCCTGAGATCCTGATTATTTTTTTCTTCTCTCTCTTCCCCGCCCCCCCCCACCTCCCCATCATGTATTTGGAGCACATCTGAGCTTCTGCCCAGGGTTACAGGGAAACCAGAGAGTGAAAGATGCCTTTGTGCATGTAGCTTTTACCCCAGCACAGCCCTGGTTGCTGATCAGGCCTCACCCCTGTGCCCAAGAACCAGTGAATGTTCCTACATGCTTTTGCCTAACCACAACCAGGAATGTAATTGGGATTATTCATGTTGTGACAACCAGGACGATTGGAGCTCTGCTGCACATGAGATCGTGTACACAAAGCCAACACAAAACTCCCACTGATTTTGGAAAAGCCTAGATATAAGATGATATCCTTACTACTGAGAGCTGGAATGAAAGGGATGTAGAGAATCCATTAGAGAGCCACGAGCAGTGCCTTGCAGCTCCAGAATATTTCTGTAAGCACCAGAATCAAGCAGCTTGGTGCAGGTGATTCTGGAGAGAAGTTGGGTTTGGAATAATGCTCCTTTAAAAGATAAGAGAGGGGGATGTGTTTAAATTTTTATTACTTAAATCATTAGAAGATACTAATAGTCACAGTTTTAAGACATACTGTATGCACTTATTCTATACAACTCAACATTATATCTCAAATGTGACATGGACTCTCTCTCTTGACAGCTGTGATATACAGAAAAACATTAACAAAATTTTTATTTAGGTGTATCATAAATGCAATTTTATTAGGGTTTTGATGATCATAACATAAGCAAAACTGCTAGAGTACAACTTTGAGTTAAGCCCTTCCTCTGCTCACATGAGTGTCAGGTGTCTCACCCATCTACTTGGAGAAACTGTGCATCTAGAATGTATTTAACATTAACTTGGAAGATTCTGAAACACTTTCTGCACCAGGGATAGGTTCTATGTGGGTGGACCTTGGCATGTTTCTTGGACCTTAACTTTAACAGATGCAGTTACAGGTGTAACAAGTTACAGGTTTTAAGTCAATGTCAGAAAAAGATGGAAGGACAAAAATAGCAGAAGCTCAGCAGTTAGATTGCCAGGCAGGGTGGCCTTCTGAGGGGGGCAAGGGGAAGGCAGGAGTGACAGCTCCTACATCTGATTAGTTCCACCTGTGAGATCTCCAGCAAGTGACTGGTTTCTCTGGTCAGCAGCACTTCAGTGCATGGAAAAAAGCTACGTAGGCCTTGTTCTAGGATGCAAAGTTTAGTATTTATCATCATATACATGTTTTATAAGGTATTTAGCTTAGAACATCAACAAAGAGATTAACACTATATTCTATTACAATGAAAACTTGCAAACTGGCTTTTGTTTCCTCACTGAGAGTTTTGAATATCATGTTAGCATAACAAACTACTGCCTTTATGATTTCAGTATATTAATAACTACAGAACTAATCGTTTCCCTAACCAGATCATTTATTAAAGTTTATTCATCATCTTGAAACTATGGCATGAATATATATATAAACACTATATATTCAGCTATAAATTCCCACTTATGGAAAAAACTGGTGCATTTTAGAGGTCCAAATACTGTCTTTTCTCTATGTGTTCAGCACTCATGAACTGTATGAAAGCGGACTTCAGAAGGGGCTTTTAAAATACATTAAAACCTAAAAGTATCTCCAAGATGCAGTAGACTGATGAATCAAATTAACTCTTTCTCCAAAGCACACGAAAGAAGGCCTGAAGCTCTGAATGGTAACATCTGCATTTGCAAGTAACTAGATAAATAAGGACATTTCTGTTCTGGCACAGTAAAGCTTTACTCTGTATGAGCAGAGCTGCTTTGTGCTCTGGAGATGCAGTTGTGCTGAAGACCATCCTAAGGAACTAGGAAGCATCCTAGAACTGTGCTTTCACAGTCCAGCATCTGAAAAAAGCCACTCAGAAAACTGTATTAAGAGAAAGCATCACTCTGCAGGAACTACCTCCCTGGGAAGAAGGGCTGTGTGTGTGTGTGTATGTGTAAAACCAATGACAAATGATCTCGTAACAAGGCGTTACTGGAGGAAGCACAGGCCTTAGTGACTGGGAGCACATCTAAATACTGAACTAATACAATGTAAGAACAAGCACAGGATGTTAAAAATTAGTTGCTCTTAATGAGGGAATGAATCACTCTTAGCAGCAACGAAAAGATAATGCCAACAGCAAACACTGCAGCTCTCAGCCAAACATAATTTAGATCTGAAGTTTAGACAATGCTGATGGTGACCAAAACTTAATTCAACCAAATCAAAATGACCAAATCATCAAATAATATCATTTAATGATTTGACTAAAACAATAATACTTTATGTAGATGACAACTGGTGACTCTATAAGCTGTTTTAAAGATTATTGCTGCTGTAAACTGTAGTCAACAGCTGATAATAGTAATATTGATTTTTTTTTTCATTTTCACCCCCCTCTCCAAGTTATGGGTTCTACCACAGCTAAGCAATAACACTGCGAGGGGAACAAATTAAAAAAAATCAATGATTCCCTGGTAGTTAGCAACACATTTTCTGTAAGACTTTGAGCAGGATGTACTGGGATAGGCTTATAATAAATATAGAACTGTGGCAGATTTTCATAGAATTAGATACCAGCTCTTCGTTTTTTCATCTTGATTTTTTTTTTTAACGTGTCTCAAAGAGATCAACTGCTTCTCTTGATCTATAAATTCTATACTGAAAAATAATATAGCATGCCCTAAATAGCATGAGCAAACAGCAGTAGAAGGCTACCTTTGACTCCTGGAGTTTGGTTTGATTTTGCTACACTCTCTGTAGTCTATACTCTAGAAATAATTTCTGCTGTATTCCTGCTTTCCCCCAAAGTAGCCCTTTGCTGTGCTGATGCTCCAGTTCAGTGGCCTTTGTGCAGAGCAGTGCTCATTTAACACCAGGTGTGCACCAAAGCTGTGAGGAGCTGCCCCTTTGGCTTTTAAATCTGACTCTGATGTGTTTCAGGTGATTTTGGTGAAAAGGCAATAAAAAAAAAAAAATGAAAAGAGGAAACAAAGGACTTGTACAAAGGTTAAGTGGAAAACCCTAATTCCAGGAAGTTTTTCTTCAAATAGGAGCAGATGGTGGACCCATCTGGCCAGGCAGAAATGTGCCAGGCTGGGCATACTGAGAACAAGTCCATGCTCCAAGATCCACCTCCAGCCGTGAGCATCTTGATACTAGGCTGGTTAATCCAGTAATTAATTAGGAGGGATGAGTTTCAAGAGTGAAGCTTGAAAGGAGAATTGGGAAGGGAAGAAGGTGGTGGACACACCGGTGGCAGCACAGTTGGGACAATTTCTGTATGTGCTTTGTGCCATGAGCAGAAGCATCTTTGGTCTTTTACTCGTGTGCGTTTCATGGGATCTTCACATTAAAAAGAAAAGGTACTTTCAACAGGAAACATCTGAAAATATTCTGAAAAGCTCTTACTTTGCACAGAGAAAACTTCTAATCGGCAAAACTGCAAATAAAGTCACTACATCTGAAGATTAAAACTTGTGTTCTTGCCAGGTTTTACCCTCATCTGTCAAATGACTAGGCTAAAGTAAACTTGAAATAGATTTTCATTTATTTTTCATCTTCACTGTAATCCAAAGACTGCCCTGTTAAAAGCCTTTCGTAAATCATTTGGTCAGTTTTTCTCAACAAAACAGTTTTTAAGTAATGCTGTATATCAGCCCCTTTTTTGACGTTTTCATTTTTTCATCTTGACATCTTTTCTTAAAAATAATACAGTGTTTGTCCTGTTATCTTTTTTCAGACACTGGGGGTGTGGGGGGAGGAAGAAGGCATCAACTCTCTCCCCATCACAGCAATTGGAGTATGCAAATGAAAGATGTACTCGTCAGCCTATGGTTTTCCTTTCAATCTTACTGCCCAATGTTAAGACAGCAAGTGTGGCAAGAAACTCTTGCTGCATCAAAACTGGAAGCTGGAAATCACACAGCCTTTTCCCTAAGGTGCACAGTCTCTATCAAATTCCTTCCTAAATGCAACAGGGATTTAACTCTAATCTGACTGACATGAAGAAGTGCCTCTGCTACAATCCACCGCATCATTCGTGTTTGGCCTTTACGGGCCAAGAAAAAGTCAATGAGATAATTCTATAGATGGAACAAGTGAAAAAATACACTCCAATACTAAAGTAGATAAACTCATTTTTCTTGCTCGTCCTGTGAGTAAAAGCCAGCTGGTTCATAGAGGTGCGTGGAGTTCTTTCTTTAATTAGAGTAGCAACTTTTTCTTTTTCCTAGTTATTCACACTTTCCTGAGATACAGTGTGGTTTAATAGTCAATTATAATTGACTGTTAAGAGAGGAATTAGGTGATTTATCAGAAGTAAAAATTCAGTACTAAAACAGTATCTCTGCAGAGAGATGTAAAGCTGCAGGGGTGGGTGCTGAGTGTACAGATGAAGTTGCTGAGCCATTCTTCACCACAGCACTAAAGACAATGTCAGTGCAAGTGATGTGTCAACCAGCATTCAGCAGAGCCATGTATTCCGGTGCTGTAGACCAATACAATGTTTTTATCTTCAGCGAACAGTGTCAATCAGTACAGCTGGTGATCCAGCCCCAGTATACTTGTGAATGAACCAGATAAATCCTGTATAATTACACTGAACCTCAATTTCTCCTTTTTCCTTGTTTCATCTGTGTGGCAGGCAGCTTACTGTCTGTGGTATAGCTCTAGTCTTACATCCGTTTGAGTCTGCTGAGCTCTGTTCTGTGATCCCAAGGGCTGATTTGAGGGCTCAGCTCTAATAGAGATAGCCAGATTCCTGAACCCTATGGTAGCCAGGAATCAACCTCATGGTATTTTCCTGCAATTTGCATGTGCAGAGATATTAAGATTTTATTTAAGTTCTATCTGAGGACCTCATGGTGGCACATTTGCTTGTAGCCAGCTTTGTGTTCTAAACCACTTCTCTTCCTGGTGCTGTTGTAGGGAATTAAGAGGGATGTGTTTTGGATGAACAAAAGCTTGCAAACATTTTTCCTCTATTTGAGAGTTTACCAAAGATGACACCTTGAAGAGGGTAAAAAAACCTCCCTCTTTGAACAAGCTGGCGGAAACATTTGGTTGGGTTGTGAGAGCAGGCATGAGGAAGCTCTGTCTCCCAGAGGACAAGAGTGAGGTGGTTTGGGTGCTACTGGGTATTAAGAAGTAAAGGGAGAAGAAGGGTGTCTGTGGTGAGTAGACCCACCTGAAGAGACATGAGGGAGGCAAGGCCTTTCTCCTGAGCTTGGTTTCAACCTCTTGATGGCTGGACAGGTTCAGAACCATTGGTCCATGGGGAATTTTCATTCTTTTGCCACCAAATACCTGGCTGTGACCATGCCCACCCTGCCTTGCACCTGGGGACTTTTTACCCCTGCATGAGTGCTCTGGTCTCTGAAGGAGGGAGCACCTTTACCTCCTTTCCCTGGCCACTCTTTTTAAAGAAGTGATATGTAAAATTAGATAACATCTGTATTACAGAGAAAAAAGATGGGGGACAA